CAGCCAACCTAGCTGGCACCTAGGTTCAATGGGACAACTAAATTATGGAGCGAAGCGTGTCACTATGGGGGTCTCGGACTTCCTACCGCTCCTTGTTAGAACAGTGACTCCCCTACGAGGTTAGCACGTTGATGCTTTAATGATTCGAATGTCGATTGACATGTGTGAGTATGCAGGATACTTGGAAAAGAATTACCTATGTGAGAGAGAAGTGAGAGTCGCTTCAAAGGAGAATTGATGGGCTCAATTCTTTAGAAATTCTTGCAGAACCAGAAACGGTGACCCATTACCAAAATGGGCACACTAGTGAGAACAAAACAAAGGTTGGAAGGTTCTTGTGTGGGATATGTCATCGTCTACACAAACAGCAGTCGGTTCAAAGACATCGCATTCTACCGTACCTTTAGTAGAGTAAACATATATTCACAAGGCAAGGTTCAAAGGGTAACATCTACCTATGCTATCTAGGGATCGACCGTTGAACACAGTAGTGTCGTTTTTTAGTCCCGAAAATCAATTTTCATTCATGTGGGAGATTTTTAGAAATTTTGGCTAAAATAGCTATTTTGTGGTATAAATATATGTGGGGTCCATTACCAATTTGGGTCGGGTCAAAGTGGATTTGGGTTCTTTGTTGTGAGACGAAGAAATTGATATATTTTACGTGCAAAATGGGCAATAGGCGAATGAGAAATTGATTCTCAAAGTGAACCTATTTGAGAGAAGTCAAAAACTTAATTGTAAGTTTTAGGTGCTAAATAAGATTAGCACTAATATTTGTTGTACTAATTACTTAGGACTCGTGGAGTGCTTGAAAAATGTAATATTAGCTTTGAAATTGACAACACCGGATTGTGAGAATAATTAAGCAATATAATTACGAGTTGATTAAGCTTAAGTATAAGCTTTGTGACAATTTGGTGCTAATTGCACCTTATTTGCCTGTAGCTGCATTGGTGCAAATTACACGATTCGTGTAAATTACATAGACTCAGTGCTATAGCTAAGCACGATTCGATGATTTGGTGTGCACCGATTCGGTGTCAATTCGAAAATTTTGAATTATTATTTCGAATGTACAGATTTCTTGGCCACTCAGGTATTTTGAAATAGGTCATTATGATCGATATAATTAATTATAAATTGATTTCGTAACCGCAAATATTATTACGATAATAAGTATGACCGTTTCAGACGTCATAATCCATATATTAATTCGATTTATTAAGTGCCATAAATGCTAGAATTTATGCATCCCCTATTTAAATTTGTGTTTGGGTAGTGATTTTCATAGCTAGAAAATCAGTTTTTCTCTCCATTAACTTTGTCCTATTACTTCCCGAAACTCTGCCCATTCTCTCTAAAAATAATTTGTGTTCAAGCTTGTTGTTCTAGTTCGCCGAAAGTACTATTGTTTGAGTGCTCAAACGTAGTATCGTTGATCTATTTGATCCTGGGAGACCGACATCACAACGCTCATAGCACATCCGGGAGGTGAGGAATCGATTTTAAGGAGATAGTGTTTCGCTCGACTTGGATCCTTCGTTTCCTATCCTTTTCTTGGTACGTGAGATTATTATTTTATAAATTCAATCCCTTATTTATATATATGTTGGTTGGAATTATATCTTCAAGATTATAAATTCCATTATTTTCGTTATATATATATATATATATATATATATATATATATATATATATATATATATATATATATATATATATATATATATATATATATATCTAAAAACATAATAAGTGTCAATACAAGTTATGTCCTTGATTTTTGTCCCTTTTTTATATGCTAATAAATATATACATTTTGCTTTAATTGTTGTACATTCATTTGCATTGGACAAAATCACCCTTACACCGTTATAACACCGTTAGTTTTTAATATATCTATCAATCTTACCATACACCTACATCTATCATATCTTTTTCCTATTTTTAATTATCATTTTATTAAAATTATCATATAACAATTAATTTAATTATAAATTATATTTTAATTAAATATTTATATGAATGTTAAATTATATATGTGTATCATATATATATATATATATATATATATATATATATATATATATATATATATATATATATATATATATATATATATATAATATGTATGTATATTATTTCTGTATCCATATCAATATATCATATATGTGAGTGTTAGCTTAGTATTATTTGTAAATTATTATTATATAAAAATATAATTTATTTTTTTTGTTTTGATCACTATATTATTCAAATATATGATAATTCAAAAGTATCATCACTTTAAGAAATTGCAAAACATAATTTTAACTAATTTTTTAAATTTTGTTACTTACAAATATTTTAATATTGGGCATAAGTTTTCGCGCATCGCGCGTACAAAATGCTAGTGTATATATATATATATATATATATATATATATATATATATATATATATATATATATATATTATTTTTGTGTAAAATAAACTTATTCATTCCAATAGTACCCAGTATAATCATACATACATTTTTTTTTATTATACGTGATAAAAGAAACACAAATAATGATCAACATGATATACTTTCTCATAAATTTATATATAGTCCATGATTAAATGTTCTCATTTTCATAATTTCTTTTGAATACTATTAATTCTATTACTAATTTTCATAATTTAATAATCATTGTAAGTATGAAATAATATAATATGAGAAGTGTGAACTTTGACCAAGAATTAAATGGCCAGCTAAGTTTGCTTCCCCTATACTCCTTTAAAGGAAAAGAAAATTAAAATTAAAAAATTAAAAAAAAATGTCTAATTGCCCCTTAAATCCAATGAATAATGTCATTAGGTATTCCAATTGAAAAGACTCTGATCTAATTAGGTGCTTTAATTTAAACGGGTAAAATAGTGTAATTATGTCTTAATCATACATGTTCAATATGTTTGGTCCACAAGCTGAGCTAATATATAGTGTCTTAATCTGTACGTGTATATACAATTTTTTATTTAAAATTTGTTTTACAAATAGACAACCAATGGATGTTTACGTTGATGAATTGCCATTGGAATTGGTTGTCCATCAACAAATAAAATAGTCATGCATGACTACCTATATTATGATCTCAAAAAAATCAAAATTTAGACAAGCGAGATAACCGTAATTCATCTTAGAGAAACGAAAGCTACCTCCTACCTTGCTTCTCCCTCTAAGAAATGAAGGTGGCATGGACGCCTTTATTTGTCTAGGTCTAAAGAGGTTTAGGTCTAGAGAGCCATAACTATCTTGCTCACCACTGAATTGAATAGCATGTACTTGTCCGTTAACAAAAATAAGAACCAAATTTCGAATAATGTTTTAAAAAAATATATAAAATTTGTACACTCAAAATTCATGTAAAAGTATTATAGGATGCTACGTGTTAACCCAATTAGCCACTGTCAGCGATAACCTATTGAACATGTAAGATTAAAATCAAATTGCAGTAGTAATTACCGATTTAGGATACGTAATTAGAGCTTTCTTATTTTTTTCTCAATTAGAAGACTTAATTACATTATTCGTTAAATTTAGAGGCTAATTTGATGTTTTTTTTTTCAAAATAGAAGGGTAAAAAGTCAAATATGTCTTTAATTTATTTCTACTATTATGGCACGTTTGGTTCGCAGAATAAGCCTGGAATGGTATAGCATTCCCAGTAATAGGCCTATTCTTTTGTTTGGTAAAATTTTTTATTCACAGGAACAGTGTTCCTGAGAATGTCATATTCCCCCTGCAAGGGAAATAGCTATTACCAGGCCCCCCTGGTATTAACCTATTCCTGAGTTCTCAGGAATAGATTTTATATTTTATTTCCTATTTTACCCTTCATCTTTTTCTCTCGGTCCTTTGCATCTTGTCAATGCTTGGCATTCTTTCTCCGAAAGATCAAAACTTACGTTGAAATTATGTCTTTTACACATATTTTCCATTTATATTCCTTAAACCAACCAAACGCTGGAATAACATTCCTAAAGTCTATTCCTTCGCCGAACCAAACAACAGAATACAATTTCTATTCTATTCCTTACCTATTCTATTCCTTATGTAATAGTAATTCTATTCCTTCAAAATTCATTCTGCGAACCAAACGTGCTGTTAGTTAAATGGATCATGGATGTAATTTAGTACCTCAATTAAAAATAATACAATTATTATATCCCAACTAAAAAGATAGTGCAATTGTACGTCCAATTATAGTGTAAGGATATATTTGACCCATTATTATTATTATTATTATTATTATTATTATTATTATTATTGTTATTATTATTATTATTTAATTAAATAAAAAAGTTAGGGTAGATATGCGAACTTGCCAAGACTTGTATTGTTTATTGTTATACCTAATCATGCTATCCATGCCTTTCAATATTAGGCATGCAATTGACCATCCAAACAATGAATAAACAATATAATATTATATATAAAATATGAACAATACAAATAAAATATATAATAGTTCTTTTTAAGAATATCACCGATTCTTTTTATTTATAGTACTATGCACAACAACTTTTTCACCATGGTAACATTTTTCAATAAAATATATCATAACTAAATGACCATGAAATTACAATAAACATTAAATTGATAAAAATTTAAGCAAAAATAGAAGAGTAGTTTTTAGATTTTTTTTTTAAAGAAATAGAAAATATTTCCCCATTTAAAAAAAAAAAAAAAAAAAAAAAAAAAAAAAAAAAAGAAATACCAATGTAACAAATTCTCTAACTTAGAGAAATGAAAGACTATTTTTACACTAGTGAATAGTAAGTCTAAGTATCAAATTCTATCAATAGCGATTTTAGTATATCAAATATTCATTTTTAGATTGTACACTAAAATTGAACTTTTAAAAAATGATATTCAATATATGAGAAATGAATCTTAGCTTTAATATATTAAAAATGAACATGTGTGTCACTTATATGCATTTTAGTGTGGGCAATGGTCCATGGTACAATGATTGTACTTAATATAAGTTATAACTAGCCGCAAAATTTGAATAGTAATTCCATCACATTTAAAAAAACATCCTAAGTTGACCCTTTAACTTGGATGAAAGGTCCATTTCATGTTCCTTGATTCTTAGTACCACTATACAATTGAAATGAAAAATGCCCATCATGGCAACATCCAAGATCCAACTAAACAAAAAGACCCAAAAAAAAATGTAACAATTAAAGAAGTATGGGTGGGGAAGGGAAATATTGCACAAATCAGGGGTGTGAAAAGCAATTTTCACAAATTCAATAGGAATAGCCCACACGGCTAACCCCTCTTTCCTTGAGAATGGCGGTGTAAAGAGCCATTCTATTGGGTGGCATTTCTTGCAATTTTCCACTCTTCTTTAATGCAGAGTTTGTACATGATGACTTTTGGGTATTATTGCAGTGTAGCCTCCTGTATTCTTCGTTATTCCCACTTGGCTCCACAACATCTTTTGCAAAACGCACCCTCTTCTTCTTGTTTCTCTCCTTCTTGCTCTTACCTTCTGCATATTTCACACATTAGTCCAAAAAGTTAACAACACTTTATTATATTAAAAACATTATTGGAAATTATTACAATGCCATATCTAAAAGATAAAAATGTTGTAATTTCAAAATAAATAAGCGGTAAATGTTTAAGTATATAATTTATAAAATTACAAATATACATTTAGTACTTTCTAATTTAGAAATAATATAGAATAATGTTCGACGTTGCAAAATTTTCTTATGTCAAATATTTAATTTTATTTAAAAATTATTACACACCCCTTACAACTTAACGTAATTCTATTTCCAATTCTTGGTAGGTAGAACACATCGTGACATACAAAATTATAACAAATTTTTGTTTTTTACTCGCAAAGTGCAAAGTATAGTAATATCCTATGCACATGTCGATTACCTTACCGTCTTACCAAAAATGTTTGAGATATTTCAACAAGACAGATCATATTCGATAATTTGTATCAACGTATTTTAATTGATTAATTAAGACAAATAAAGACGAAATTTGTCTCGTCAAAAATATCTCTAGAATTACACGAATATTACACACTATGACACTAACAATAAGAATATTCTTTATTGGACAATGCAAGAAGAAGAAGGACTATTCTTTATAGGGTCAAGAAGTGTTGTTTTTTACCCCAAAAAATCCATCGAAAAAGGAAGGAAAAAAGCGTAAAGTGAAAGCTTCACATGCAGAGAACGAGGATTCCAATCATGTCAAGGAATATGCGAATCCATAAACATTTTTCAAAGAAAAAAAATAGTAATAATAAAAAGAATATATTTTTTTATTATTATTTCTTGTTTCTTGATTAATAGCGACGCAGAGAAGATAATTGAGATATATAATATAGTTTCTGGGAAAACCTGAAGAGATGCACGGGCGAAGGAGAGGAGATGAAGACTGGGGAATTGGGTTGGTTTCCGGCAGATGAATAGACCTCTGCAGCCGGCAGGCGAGGAGGACCACCGTGCCGGAAACCGCCATGGCCGTCGCTAAAACCATTGCTTGAGAAGTCAACATGGATTCGAACCAGTTCTTTTCTTGAAGAATTGAAAATAAATGAGAGAGACAGAGAGAGAGAGAGAGAAGAGAAAGAGACTTAAAGGGGAAGAGAGAAAGGTGGTTTGGTTTTGTGTGTGATATAGAGAGTAATAAATATTGTTGTGAAATTTTTATAAGTTTGAGTCAAACTTGATGTATATTCACACTCCTATTCTTCTCCCAAAAGGTTGAATTTCTAACTTCAAGAGCCCCACTCTAGGATGTAAATCACGGTAATTTAATGACTTAGCAGATAGAATTAAATGTTGATGGGTGCGCACAAGAGATCTGCTCACTTTAAACATAATTCTCATGAACATTAATCTCTTCTCCAAAATACTGTCTATTGAATTATTGAGTTAAGCTCGTGCAAGCTATTCATAGTCATACTCAAAAAGACGGGTAAATAAATAAGATAAAGAACAAGAAAAATATAATTTTTAAGTTTATTTTGAGTTAAAAAAATTTTTGGTAGGGAATTTATTTTGAGTTAATATTATACAGTGAGTACATCGATTATTATACATGAAAAAAAAAAAAGAAGATACTTTTATAAATAAAATAATATTTTAAAATTTTTATTTATAAAAATGAAATTTTGTATTTTTTATCTGTAAATCGTTTCTCTTTTGAAATTTGATTCCTATTTATCAATTTGAATAAATTTAATCCCTTAATTATTTACAAATTACAATGTTGTACATTTATAGTCCTATACATTATATAATTAAAGAACTAATTGTGTAACATTATGAATAATTGTGTAACAATCACATAAAAAAATTTAATTAGTATAAGAGTGGGTAATTTTCATTTTTTGTTATTACGTACATTTTCACATATAATTTTTGACTATTTTATTTCTACTATTAAACTCACAACTTTGAATCTTTTATCATTTTGTCTTTTTAGTGAGTTTTTCAACGAAACATCATCTGAATTAAATGTTTTCTTGCAAGTTTTTAGTATGGTGTTTGGCAAAAAAAATTCAGAAAGGATTAAAGATTGTAAAAAATTTAAAGTCAGGGTCTAATAATGAAAAATAAAATAGTTAAGGACTATAAGTAAAAATGTCATAAAATCGATGGACTAAAAGTTTTTTTTTTTTGTAAAAAATAAAATAAAATCTTCTGATTAATTAATAGTAAAATTGGATAATTTTATTTTAATTTAATAATTAATCAATAATTACATCAATTCAAGTAAATTTTATTCTGATAAAATATCTTAAACTTTTCAATACATAAATGGAAACATGGCATTGCAAGATGCCAAGATATATCAAATAGTACAAAATTAAAACCAAAAGCGAAAAAAAAAAAAAAAAAAAAAAAAAAAAAAAAAAAAAAAAAAAAAAAAAACATGAATTGATGAGGGATAATTAAAAAGGGTGCATTTATAGTAATTAATTCTCATTTTTAGGAAAAAGGAAAATCTGTAATAGTTATATTTAATTAAAGGGAAAATGACACTTTTTCCCCCTAGTTATATACTTATAGTCATTTTCCCCCCTCACTTATTTAGGTAAGCACATTAGCCCCCTCAATTATTTTAAAAGTGGTGATTTTTCCCCCTGATATATTAAATTGACATTTCTACCCTTAAAGTAAACATTTTATTTATTTTACTTCTCCAACAAATTATCGCGTATACGTAGGGATGACCACGGTTCAGATCAAACTGAACCGGACACTATAGCAATTGAATTAAAAGTTTCCGGTTATGATTCAGATCTAGAACCTAATATTTGGATTTCAATTTATTAAAATTATGAATAAAAAAAATTGGATCTTGAACCGTGAATCGGCGATTCTGGATCCGGTTCGCGATTTTGAACCGTCTTTATTTTAAAATTTTATTTTTTATTTTAAATAGTCTAAATTCAACAATAAATGTATTTTATTTTTTCAGTTCGGAACATGAATCGTCCGTTCCGGTTCGCGATTTTAATAAACTCTAAATATCGAGTTTCGATTCTAAATTGTAATTGGAATATTTCGGTTTGGTTGCTATAGTGTTTGTTTGGTTTGAACCAAATTATTGTCATAATTTGTTGGAGAATGAAAATAAATGAAATATTTATTTTAAGGGTAAATATGTCCATTTAACATTTTAGGGGGAAAAACAGCCACTTGAATAATTGAGGGGGAGAAAGTGCTATAAGTATATAACTTAGGGGGAAGAAGTGTCATTTTCCCTTAATTAAATCCAACTATGTTTTAAACATGCTATACCACTGTTTCCTTATAATTATTTTATACTTCAATTGCATTTAATTCTTCCAAAAGGTTGAACCCCAACACGACAAAGCATTTGAGAGGATGTAAATTATGATAACTCAACTGAACATGAACCACAGAGGCTAGACCTTTGCTTATTGCACCCTTACCCGACAGAGCATTTGAGAGGATGTAAATTATGATAACTCAACTGAACATGAACCACAGAGGCTAGACCTTTGCTTATTGCGCACAAGAAGCCCACCTCACTTTGAGAGGTTGCTCCCACACTGTGGCTGGTAAGACTCGATCCCTGGTCATTCTTTCACTTTTTCACCTCTATGACCCGTTGAGCTGCCTATGCAGCTTCAATTGCATTTAATTATCACTAGTAATTGCACTCGTGCGATGCACAGACAAATATATTCGACAAAAGGTTAACAATAGAAAAAAAAAAAGTATTTGGATAATTACTTATTAACAACTAATGATTAATTTTTAGAATTGTATTACAAATTACTGAAAATTTCTTTATAAACGACATTTTTAGTCGTACTTACACATGGTACATTATCCCCACATATCAAAATTTTTAATCCCTTTGAATTATTTACTCTTAAAACTACTACATACATAATTCTATACATACATAATTCTATTACGTGTAATATATATATATATATATATATATATATATATATATATATATATATATATATATATATATATATATATATATATATATATAAAATTTAATACCATTAAATAAATTTGTTGTACATAGAATCAAAAAAGTAATATGTACATTATTGCGAGTATACTATTAAATACCCCGTTTGGGGTTTGATAATATGTACATTATTGCGAGTATACTATTAAGTTCCCCGTTTTGGGTTTGATAATATGTACATTATTGCGAATATATTAAATACCCCGTTTGGGGTTTGAACTCCTCACACTGCAACTAGCATTATTCATAGACATTACCTCCAATTCTTATTTCATATTTTCAGCTATTAGCCCCGAGGTCGGCGGCGAAGCGTATTGAATTAATATATGTCACTTGTTTAAAAATATGGATGACTAATTTATATTTTTAAGTAATTATACCACTTTTACCAACAATAAAATGCACACATCTTTATAAATTACTTTATAAATCATTTTACATGTTAATAGTTAATCGTCAACAATTAATTTTATCAAATATTGTATTACAAATAACAAATATTATCAATTAGTCAAAATAACTATATAATTAGCGATACTATATTAGTATTGTAACATATTCTTGATCTAGAAATTATCAATTTTCCCAAATGAGTTTAGAGAATTCGTAGTCATTTATATATTTTCCAAAGTAATTAGTTGTACTAACTTTTAAAAACACATATAAATTAATTCCATATTTGGTCATTAATTTTCACAATTTTTTTTTAAATGTAATTCTTTTAAACAAATAATTTCATTACATCTTAATTTTAACTTTTATGATTTTGTCAAAGTTAATTCGTCACATAATTGTTAACCATAAAATATATAAATAACTCTTCCAACTCCTAATATTACTTTTCAATTTAAAATTACTACATTTTTTTTAATCATAAGTATCATATATTTCCTCATTAGTATTACATTCTTCCTCATAAATAACAATTAATAAATTTACCATAATTAGCATTACATTTTTCTTATAAATAATTATTAAACCTCTAAATATTACATATCATAAATAACAATTAATAAATTTACCATAATTAGCATTACATTTTTCTTATAAATAATTATTAAACCTCTAAATATTACATAGTACATTTGTTTTTCTTTAAAAGTATTACTACATTTTTTTCTTATAAGAGCATCCTTATCAGTTGAGATTATTTTTCAGTTATTTGTAGGTCCCAACATCCACCTTATCCTCCACCATCTCATTCAATTACAAAAAATCCTTCTCCACATCAGTTTTAAGTTATTTCTCAATTTTTTATGGACCCACCATTTAACCCACTATATTTTAATTATTATTTCTCTTACCTACTGGGCCAACAAATATACCATACTTTGCAAGAGAAATATTTTTGAAATAACTCAGACAATTTATTCCAAATTAGTCTTTATATTTTCCAATATAAGTATTACATTTTTATATCAACTCGACATGTTTCAGAAATAAAAGATCCATAAAACGAACTCACAGAAAATACACTCAAAAGGTAAATCGTACTAATAAAATATGATAGATTGAAATAAAAAATAAAAAAAATAAAAATAAATAAAAAAAAATAAAAAACCGTTGACAAAAATCAAACATGTAACCTCCTGATTCATGCTACTAGCTTTAACATCCTCGTGTAGCACAATAGCTATAGAAATTCCTAATTATTTTATACAGTTGTAAGTTGTAACAAGTAAATCACCAGGTCCAACATCAGAGAAGGAGACATCACACCTGAGTGTGACTCATGTCAAAATTGCAAAGACAAGATGATGCATACAAAATATCATCTGAGAGCAAAAACGATAACTTTCAACAGAAGTCTATTGCGAGTCTCCCCTCGAGCGATCGCCAGAGCATCGGGTTCATCACGGGAAGTCAATTGGGTTTGGCTGCAAGGCTTTCTGGACGAGCCCGGCCTGTTCTTTGATGTGAACCTGTAGGAAACCAGTAGCAGTTGAAGCTGAAGAGAGACGGCCAACATATTTGATGTCGTCCATATTGCCCCTCCCAACTGCCTTCATTGCAGTACAAAGGCGTGGTGCAACGTAATGGAATGCGCCCATGTTCATGGGCTCTTCCTGGCACCAAACAACCTCCGCATCTGAAAAGAAATCATTAAAATGTGTTAAGAGTCCCATATTGATAAAATAAGAGAGAATATATAGGTTTATAAGGCTATGGGTTAGACTAGCTAATTAATTGGATTCAATCTTTTAGTGTGGTTTGGCCAATGTACATTATAGCCTAGTTGAGTGACTTTGGCTCAATCTTAGATTATAAGATGGTATCAGAGCCTGTTTGGTCCACTTGTGACTATTTGTTTATAGTACTGCACTATTGACCCTTTAGTTGATTTTAAGATCGCAAGCCTTCATCGAGTGACTAATACAAAACTTGAGGTTCTAAAGCATCTAAACTATATGATAACGCTAAATAAATCTTACACTAATCCCTTACTTGTTTGATCTCACTTAAACAGCCAAAAGAACATAAAACGACAAACTCAGGTATCTTAAAGACCAGTGCACATACTTGGATAGCGTTTCAATTCACGCTGGACGAGGTCGTATGGGAAAGGACAGAGCTGTTCCACCCTACAGATAGCAACATCCTTGCCATCGACCCTTCTCCTCTCTTCATCGAGCTCGTAATAGATCTGAAATAAGCGGGGAGGAAAACCAAAGAAATATCAAATTGTATGATTAGAGAATTGATAAGTATCTAAAATCAATAATGTCGATAACATATTCGAGTGATACACTTCATTATGCTTGGAGGTACAAGAAAATGTGCGTGTGGAAACACATATCTGAAATGAACAGGAAACAAGTGATGTGAGATAAAGGTAAAGAACCCTACAGACCTTTCCTGAGCAAAGAACCAAGCGTCTAATACCCTCTTCGCGATCCGAATGAAAATTCTGATCTTTTATGAGGCGCTTAAACCTGGTGCCTTGTTTATCAAAACCGGGGTGGCCTTGGACATCGTCAAACTCGGATAGGTTTGACTTGCATTCCTTATGCCGAAGCAAACTCTTTGGCGCCATCACGATCAGAGGTTTACGGAAATCCCTGTGGATCTGAGATACAAATACACTGTACATAAGAAAATGACTAAATAAGAGATCAAGATTAGAACAGTCTCTCGGTGACACTTACTTGTCGTCGGAGTACGTGGAAGTAATTTGCGGGAGTAGTTACATTCACCACCTGCCAATTGCATTCTTGAATCTGTTTCCGAAGAGTTGGGTCCATCTCGGGGATAACATAGGGGTTATCAGCACTCATCTGCAATCATGATTAACGGGATGGTATTGGTCAAACGTTGTTGAGTGCATTTTGAAAGAACTTAAAAGAATAGAAGCACTGTAACCAGCTTGGTTGGCGTGAGTGGCCATGCACTCTCGTCCCTTAAGAGAGGTCGGGAGTCCGAACCCCCTCTCATATGGAAAAACTAATCCGGCCAGCACTTTACCCCTTAATTGGGCCGGGCCGGTGCGAACGAGGATTAGTCTGAGTATGGTACGGGCTTAAAGGTGCCTCCTGGTTCCTACAGTTAGGGTCTGCTCAGTACACCTCGTGGTCTGACCAAAAAAGAATAGAAGTACCGTCAATACCTGAAGAAAACGCTCGAGGCGTGCACTCGAATGTTCAGGACCCTGACCATCATAGCCATGAGGTAGAAGCACAACTAACCCCGTCTGGCGCAACCACTTGGCCTCCCCACTGCTCAAAAACTGGTCAAATATCACCTCGGCTCCGTTGGCAAAATCACCAAATTGGGCTTCCCAAAGTATAAGTGAATTTGGATTTTCCATTGAATAACCTAATTCAAATCCTAGAACACCAAACTCTGAAAGAGAGCTGTAGAAAGAACAGATCAATAAAGAATTCAAGATATAATACACGGAAGCAATTACAGGAACATACTGAGAAAAAAGGTAATTGAAGTAGAAAATCTTTATACCAGCCCAAAAACAAAATTTCTGCCACAACTTACCTGTTGCTGACAGTAAACATTTCTTCATTTTGGTCCTTCATAATGTGATCCAGAGGACAATACTGCTGTCCTGTCTCCTGATCATGGAGAACAGCATGTCTGTGACTGAAAGTACCCCTTTCAACGTCCTGACCACTCAACCTGACATGATTACCTTCCACCAGCAATGTTGCAAATGCAAGTGCTTCTGCTACTGCCCAGTCAATGCCCTCACCAGTCTCAATCATCTTTCGCCGCTCATCAAAAATTCTTTTTATTGCTCTGTGAGGCTTAAAACTTTCTGGAAGGGTTGTGATTGCTTTGCCAACATTTGTCAATATCTCGGGCTTGACACTGCAGAGAAAGCATATATTGAGCCTCAAGTTCTAAATAAAACAGAAAAAGAAAAAGTAATACACTAAATGTTGGACTTCCCAGTTCCCAAAGAGCAGAAAGTGTACCCAGTATTTCTGATTCGGGAAAGCTGTTCAGGAGACTTGAATCCTAACCAAAATGCTGAGAGCCAGTCTCGTTTTTGAGGAACATAGTCTTTGCTAGCAACAAACTCTTCATTAAGTATAGTATTGACTTTATTCTGTATCTTCTCAATATCTTCTTTTGTAACATGACCAGATTCCAAAAGTTTCTTCTGATAGATCTCCATCGAAGAAGGATGATTCTTGATGACCTACAAAAACCATTCAAAGATAGAAAGTTAGATTTATATCAAGGACCATTGAAAACAAAAATGCAAAGCATGGACAGTATCGCTTATAGTCAAGCTCCTTACGTAGAAGCAAAAAGTGAATAGTATGGTGCCTTTAAATAAACCAATTATTCCAAAGAACAAGGAAAATAAAAGGTAAAAAAGATCAAACCTGATACATTTTGGGTTGAGTAAAGGATGGTTCATCAATTTCATTATGCCCAAATCGACGATAACAAACTATATCGACCACAACATCTGAGTGGAATGTCTGGCGCCACTCTGCAGCAAGCTCACAGGCATGTACAACAGCTTCAACATCATCACCATTGACATGGAAAATCGGAGCATCCAAGGCCTTGGCAACATCAGTACAATACTGAGAAGATCTTCCAGAGCTCGGATCAGTAGTGAAGGCCACTTGATTGTTAACTACAATGTGTATGGTGCCACCAACACTGTAGTTTGGAAGAGCGCTAAGATGCAATGTTTCATAAACAACTCCTTGCCCTGCAAAGCTACCATCGCCATGAATCAGAACACCCATATTCTTTGTCCTATCCACATCGTTATTATAATATTGTTTTGCTCTAGTTTTCCCGATCACAACTGGGTCCACAGCTTCCAAATGACTCGGGTTTGCAACCAGCGAAAGATGAATTCTCTTCCCTCCTCGAGTTGGCCGATCGTAAGATGTGCCTAAGTGGTACTTCACATCACCGGTTCCCACATAACCAGCATCATTCACGGGTTTTGTACCGCCACTAAATTCATTAAAAATCTGGCGGAGAGGCTTACGGACAACATTACCCAGAACGTTTAGTCTTCCTCTGTGAGACATACCTATAACTATACTCTCCACTCCTAGATCAGCTGCCCTGTCAAACATTTCCTTCATACCAGGAATCAAGGTTTCACAGCCTTCCAGCCCGAATCTCTTGGCAGCCACCCATTTGGTGGCCAAGAAGTTCTCAAACTGAGTGCTCCACATCAACCGGTCAAGAATAACCTCACGCCTCTGGCGGTTGTATTCCATAGGTATTGGTGTTTCAACCCGCTCCCTCAACCAATTACATTTTTCCCGATCAGGAATGTGCATATATTCAAAACCAATTCTTCCACAGTAAGCCTGCTCAAGTCGGGTCAAAATTGATCTCAAGGTCTGCACTGGACGGTTCTCAGACAAGAAACCAGACATTCTCCAAACGCCAAGGAAGAATTCACGATCAAGATCAGCTTCAGTAAATCCATAACAAGCAGGGTCCAAATCTTCAGGAATCACTCTCTCTTCTAAATCCAAAGGGTCCAACTTGGCTTTCATGTGACCATTGACCTGATAAGCCCTTACAAGCAACAAGAGCCGCATGCTTTCCTGAATTGTTTGGCCAGAGATCCCAGGAGATGTAGTTGCCTGGCCAACAAAATTCCTGAAGAAATTATCCCATGACTCATCAACACTATTTGGGTCTTGTTCCCATGCCCGCTGAAGCTCCTCAAGGTACACACTACTTGTCCCATCTAAGAAACTATCCGTCAGCTTAGAAAGTGGCACAGGCCGTGGCACAGGAGCAGATTGTGCCTTTGACCGAACAACTGTGGTGTGAAAGTACCGACTTTGAGAAGGGAGAATACGAGTTCCCGGAACATGTGACCCACCATGTGACAAAGCTCTCCTAAGGGCAAGCTTTGCCACATTAGATCCAGCTCTAAACCACACCATTGCTACAACCCGAGTTCTCAAAATTCAATAACTTGTCCAAAATCTTATGCACTTAACCTCACTAACAGCAGTAGACCATACTCTATCTTCAAGCCAACCAGCAACCATGATTAACAGATCAAGATAAAATAAACTGAAATGTTAATAACCAAGCAGAATGACAGGCAAACCATAACCTAATATCTCAAAATACTCAAATTACCATAGCAGTTTAGGAAACTTATCAGGAAATCCATCTAAAGTTATAAACCAGAAATTAATTAACACCCATAAATATCAAAATTTGAAACGAATCCACCTCATCGATAAACACCAAATCAAGATCTAAACTTTCCTAACACATCACTAATATGAGCTGAAATTAATGGGTTAACAAGACTGTTGAAAACGAAAACTCATTTATCACTGGATTCATTAATTAAGATTAATAAACCCTGAAAAATTGTAAGTTCAGAAAACCAAAAAAAAAAAAAAAATCAAGATTGGGAGAAAGGTAAGAGTTATGTCGATACCTCTCGTACGGGCAAGAAATGAGAGAGTTTCGGCTGCTCAGAGGAACCCTAAAATGTGGGCATAACCAAAATAGCTTCGAGAGCTCGGTCTATACTTGGAAATGGAAGTTCAAAGTTGAAACGAAGATCTTTTCCTAGTAATATCTTCTACGGACTACTATTTTGGATTGCCACTTGCCTTTTTCTCAAATCGGTTGTTTGACTGCATGGCGAGTGACTCATGCTATTGCCATGCGGCGCCGTGCCCAGTGGGCTTTTCCTTTTCTTTCAAAAAAGTTTTGAGACTATACTCGGAATTGGGCCAAGCAAAATCCTCTCATTGTGCCCTACTTTGTAACAAAATTTTAAAAATAAAGCATGTGTTTGGTTGATTTGTTCAATCATCATTATTGCGTAGACCGTGGTTCATATAATTGTGTGAATCATATTGTTAAATAATGTATATTCAGTACACGAATAATATATTTTTAATATATTAAAAGTGTACTTTTTATTATGGTCCACACTCCACATAGCATATAGTCCACACACCACACAATAATTTGTCTTGGTCGAAACATTAAAATTGAAATGGTAATGAGAATCAAATACTTTGTAATAGTAATGAGTTTAAGTAGGAGAAGTCACTTTGTGTGGTAATAAATAAGAATTAAAATCAAAATAAATAATTAATTAATTAATTAAAATAAACATATAAAAATATATATTGACACACATATATGTGTATAAATAATAAATTCAACGTTTAATGCATGGATAATGACTTTTTTTTTCTTATTTTTTATTTCATTATTCAAAAGTAGATCAATAAAAGAGTAATAGATTTTGTAATTACTAAAGAATTTGAATTCAATAGTAAGATAATAAAAGTAGACAAACAAACATGGTAATGGATATTGGATCATTATGCTGTACATCTGTATGCACCATGCATGGTTCATACGGATGCAAAAATCAGGGGCGGAGGCACATTGTTACTGCAGGGGCCTTGGCCCCTCTCTTCCCAAAAAAAAAATTAATAATACTAATATTGGCAAACATATTACTTTAAAGGATTTTTTTAACTGGGCATCTTGGGCCCTTGGCCCCCTTCCCCAAAAAAATATTATAGTATATTATTATTTTATTGCCCCCCTTCACCAAAGAATCAATCGTTATGCTGTGCAACTGTGTCCATTTTGCAAGGTAGACACGGTTCTATGTTCATAATTACTGAACTATATGTTCATAATTATAAAGTTATATATTCATAATTTTTGAACTTTATATTCATTATTATTGAACTCTATATTCACAATTATAGAACTTTATGTTCATAATTACTGAATTATATGTTCATAATTATAAAGCTATATTTCATAATTTTTGAACTTCATATTCACAATTATTGATCTATATATTCATAATTACAAAATTATATGTTCATAATTATATATTCATAATTTTTGAACTATATATTCATAATAATGAACAGTTTTACTATTGATTGCAATGCATCTTGTGTCATTTACTAAGTTGCTTATTCAAAATTTAAGAGATAGTGGATGTGATGAATTAGTTGCAAGTGTGAAGTCTTTTTGTGAAACTGTCAACATAATTGTGTTGAATTTTGATACTCAATATATTGCAAGAAGATGAGGTATATGCATCAACAAGATGAATTAACAATTGGGCATCATTACAAATTTGATATTTTTAATACCGTGATTAATTCTCAGTTACAAGAGTTGAACAATAGATTTGATGGTAAAACAATGGAGTTAATTATTCTCAATTTATCGTTAGATCCAAAAGAGATGCGTATATCATTCAAAATTGATGACGTTTGCAAGTTGGTAGAGAAGTTTTACCATCAAGTTATGGAGTTAATTATTCTCAGTTTACCGTTATTCTCTCTTAAATTAATATTGGTCCCCCGCACCAACAAATCCTGGCTCCGCCCCTGGCAAAAACGACGTCGTTTTATTAAAAACGCGCATCCCACTTTAAAAAAAAATCAGTTTCGATTCCCCTCAACAGCATTATGTTGTTCATTCATTCTGGAATTTTAGTTCATAGATTCTGGAATTTTAGTTCATTGATTATGAATATTTAGACGTGAATCGAAACTGATTTTTTTCCATTTATGTTGGATATTTAGTTCATTAGTTATGGATATTAAGTTCATTCATTCTGAAATTTTAGTTCATAGATTCTGGAATTTTAGTTCATCGATTCTGGAATTTTAGTTCATTGATTCTGGATATATAGTTCAAATTATGCACAATATAATGTTGTTGCTGGGAATCGAAACTGAATTTTTTTTTTTTTAAAGTGAGACGCGTGTTTTTAATAAAGCGACGTCGTTTTTGCATCCGTATGCACCATGCATGGTGCATATGGATGCACAACATAATTTGCCATGGATATCAAAAGCCATAATAGTGTGCAAAAGTCCCCAACCAAACATTATCGAAGTTTTTTTTTTCTTTTTTTTTTTGTTTAATGATGTGGAAACTCATAATCATTATTTGAAAGTGTGTAGAATAAATTTCATTTTAGTGTAATGGTTCATAAATCACATAAAGATATGTAAATTGTACTATGAAGACCTCGTGTCATAGACTTGACCAATATGTGTTAGCAATAATCAAACTCGTAAAATTTAACAATACGAGAATCATACTCCAACCGCTTGATCATCCATATATGAGACTTAAGGCAATCTCTAACCCATTACACCAAATTTTGCACTAAATTTTACACCAAAAGGAATATTCCCAGCATATTTTTACACCAATTTTTATTCATCTCCAACCCATTACACGAAATTCAATTTCTACATTAAAATAATTTGTTTTCTCATAAATTAAAACTTTAATTTTTTTACTTTAATTTTTTAATATAAAATTTAATTGTAATGCAAATAATATTCTTATTACACAATAATATAACATATAACAACTATTACATTTAATTTTTAAAATTACCATATTGTTCCTACAAATGCTCATTCAGTGCATTACGAAGAGAACAAAATCTTACACATAAGGAAAGAGCAACTACAAATTGTTGCAAATAGAACTAATGAGCAAACATATAGAGGAGGTGTGAATCAAGTAGTCAATTTACTCAATATTTTGTTTAATTTTGGATGTATTTAGTTTAATTTTATGAAAATTATGTTTTATGTACTTTAATTTTTAATTAATCTATATATAATATTAGGCTTGTTTTAATCGACTTGATTCAATCTTTCAAATGATATAATTTATTTTTAATTATTCATATTTTATGTTTATGTCTTTAACAAAATATATTATTTCATAAAAATAAAATAAGGATACAAAAGGAATTAAGAAAAAAAAAAGATAAAGGACAAATTTGACATTTAAGAATTTACACCATTTTGCTGTTTCATCTATAGTGCAGCGCCAAATATGATGCTGTATTGTAGAACAACGCCAAAATGGCGCATTTACTAGAGAAGGTTTGGGGCCATTTTGGCGTTTGGGGCCATTTTGGCGCTCCGTTGGAGCTGGGCTAATGGAGGTGATATGCCTCGAGATCCCCCAAAATATGGTGGATGCTTGCAAACAAGAAATTAAAACAAACTGAAAGGTCAAAATGGTCTACATTTATAGAAAACAAAATCGAGCTACAAATTGACTTCTATATATTTCACTATATAGTATATATACTATAGATTTTAATTGATGAATATTTCTCAAATAAAGAAAGTTCTTTCTTTGTGTTGATTGATTGTGTTTGATATTGTTCCATCCCGTTGATAAAAAACAAATTGTTTTGGATGATCACAAAATTAAACTCCAATGATAAGACTATTGACTCTGTAGATTAAAAAAATTTAAAATGTATAAATTAGATACTATCTTATAAATAATCATAAATATTTAAAAAAAAATGATTAACTCTAATAATAAATAAATCAACTGCAAGCAATGGGCCAATGGTAAATAATGTACAATCGTTATGCCTTGGACCCGTGTCCAGCATGCTTGCTGGACACGGGTAACAGTGCCGTTAGGCATTGTTATCTCCTTTTTTTTTTTTTTTTTTTTTTTTTTTTTTTTTTTTTTAATTTCAGATCACTTTGTTATAGAAGTATATGTTCATAATTTTATTACTATATGTTAATAACTATACATTCATAACTCCATAACTGTACGTTCATAACTCTATAACTGTACATTCATAACTCTATAACTGTACATTCATAACGTCATAACTGTACATTCATAACTCCATAATTGTACATTCATAATTTTCGAAGCTCTATGTTCACAATTTTAGAGCTCTATGTTCATAATTTTATCACTATATGTTCATAATTGTAAGTTCATAATGTTAGAGCTCTTTGTTCATAATTCGATCAATAACTGTACATTCATAATTCCATAACTGTAGATTCATAATCTCATAACTGTAGATTCATAACTCCATAACTGTAGATTCATAACTCTATAACTGTACATTCATAATCTTCGAAGCTCTATATTCACAATTTTAAAGCTCCATGGTCATAATTTTATCACTATATATGTTCATAATTGTAAGTTCATAATGTTAGAGCTCTGTGTTCATAATTTCATAATTGCATAACTGTACATTCATAACGGCATAACTGTACATTCATAACGGCATAACTGTACATTCATAATCAAAAAAAAAAATATAACGCCGTTAACGGCAAAACACGCGAGAAATTTTTTTTTTTAACTAAATGACGCGTTTTGGGCCCGTGTCCACAATTCAATGTGGACACGGGTCCAGAGCATAATTTGCCAAATAATGTACCTATCAACCATAATATTATCAAAAAAATAAAATTTTAGCCAAACTTTCACAACAATTTATTTACAAATAAAATTTATTATTTAACTAATACAATATTTTTCTGAAAGTGATTCTTTATTTTGTAGTATATGTTTTATACTTTTTTAATCATTTTTAGTTAAAAATATCAGTGTTCCTATTAGTTCGATTCTATAATCAAATATTTAGAATTGTAACAGATGTGTCAACTAATAATATAATATTTAAATCAATAAGAAAGAAAATTATTAAAAGAGAGATATGATTTCATAAGAAAATATTACGTGTACTTCATTTTTTTACTCTTAACTTTTATTTTTATACACAAAATTTCGATTTACTTCATAATACTTATATTAAGATTCACATGACAAAAATAACTTATCACACTTGAAATAAAATTTAGAGAGTAAGATTTTTGAGTTGGGTTTCATATTTCGATGGCTGATTCTCCAGGAGAACAGGACTGCCACAAAAAGAAAGGTGGGGGTGGGGCCCACGAAAAAACACCATATAGGGGTGAGACAAACGGCGTCGTACGCTCTCAACTACAATAGCCTCGGCCGTTTCAAACCGTTTCCCCCACCTTCAATAAAGAAATGAAGAAGCTTATCCATGGAGGAGACACATCCTGCTGCTCCCAACAATAATACACGCTCATCAATACTCCCCTCCCATACACTCTCAAAAAGATTCAATTTTTTTTTAAAAAAAAAAAACCCAATCTATACATACAACTTGTGTGTCTATAGCTTTGCCTTGAAGGGAACTCTAACCCTCAACTGAAGATACTAAAAAACAAACAAGGATTCAATAGCTTTGGGTTTCTTCCATCATACATAAGGCTAATCTGTCATTTTCACTCTGACGATATATACCCATCTGAACACTCTTCCCTTGTGAGATGGCTTCTATAGCACCCTTGTCCAAGTCCCAGCCTTTTCTTGAGAACACCCAATTTACAGGGATCAAGAGGCCTCAAGCTCCGATTTTCTCGGTGCCCGTTGGGAGGAATCAGCAAAGTTCAAAGCTTTCCTTGAGAAATTCCAAGATGGTGGTGGCTTCATCTACAACTGCGGCAGAGAGGCCCAAGAAGAGGTACCCTGGGGAGGCTAAGGGGTTTGTGGAGGAGATGAGGTTTGTGGCTATGAAACTGCATACTAGGGACCAGGCTAAGGAGGGGGAGAAAGAGCCTGAAGGTCAGCCTGTGGCTAGATGGGAGCCAAGTGTTGAAGGGTACTTGAAGTTCTTGGTGGACAGCAAATTTGTATATGATACTCTGGAGAAGATTGTGGAAAAAGCCCCTTTTCCTGACTGTGAGTTTCTCCATATATATATATATATATATATATATATATATATATATATATATATATATATATATATATATATATATATATATATATATATATATATATTGATCTGCCTTCTTTTCTGCAATTAATCTAACATCTATGTATGGTATTTAGGTGTATTAAATTAGACTTACCTTTTGATGGTTTGGCTTTGTTTAGGGTGTGTTAGTGGTTGTTTTGAACAAATTCTTTGCAGTCTATGTTGTTGTAATAACTAATAATTGCTTCTTCTTTTATGACACTTAAGAGATAGGGCTAGGATCTGTTTTTAAATTAAGCTGTTGGAACATGAGCTGGGATATCTGTTTTCTATGTCATGTTTGTCACAGATGATGAATTTATCTCCTTCCATCAAAATAATAGTTATAGCTGGGGTGTTTGGTGAATGATTGTTAGCTCATCATTGTTAACAGATGGGTTATTGGGTTTGACTAGTTGATAGCATTAGTTAACTGTAGAGAAATGTTTGGTAAATTAGCTGTTAGTTGTTAGCTGATTACATACAAAATGACTTTCTCAAAGAGCTGATCAAAAAAGTTAATTGAGAAGTTTTTTGAATTTTAGCATTTTGGAGCAATAAGTTGTTACAAAAAACTAATTAATCAAACACTCATATTGATTATTTAACCAAGTCAAAAGCTAATAGTGGTCAAATAAGCCAAAATTAGCTGATAGGCTAACTTGATTGCATGCACTCGCTGGGCAGGAAAAAATGGAGCTATGATGAGTTTTAGAAAGAGCGTAGATCACTTTGTTATAAATTGCTTTGAATAAACGGTACAGTAAGGAGTGTAATATTTATAAAGCTTGAGTGTGGCTGAAAAATGGGAAAGTTGTTGTGCCTTAGAGGTTTATAGTAACTAGTGAAGTACACGTTGAAAGACGTTTGGGGAAGAGAAAGTAGAGCTTCGGCCTCGGTCCAGTGTTTCCCTCAGTTAAGTCCAGTTGAGTCCGGTTTCTGTTCTTGATAAGTTAGGGGGCTCGCAATGACAGAATGGTTTTTGTCAAACATGACTAGTCAGGCTGTTGGCCTTTTAACTTTCTTTCTTTTTATTTATACTTCTAAAAGGGTGGAAATCATTAGGACTATAGAAGGAATTTTCGTGAAGATCACAATAGAATAGACAGAGATATTGGTCATATTTCTAGTAGAGCTTGTTCATCCAATATTTCTTAGGAATGGGAAGTTTACTTGTTTTAACATGATCATTTTATGCTTGCACGGTTGTACACTTGTACCTGACCTGCATACATAAGTTCTTGTTGGGCGGAGGCCGGTGAAGGGCCAAGTTTAGCACCAGGTGGAAGGGCCAAGTCCAACACCCTGCCTTTCGAAAATGTGACGGTATAAGGAAACAAAGTTGCGCCTTTGCTACGATCTATGTATAGCTTTTAGCGTAGTGGTAAGCACTTGATCCTAACAGTTCTTTATTGTGAAACGGGGAGCTACTCGTAAGACCTTATTTAACAAACCTTTGAACCTAGACTTCTGGTTAAGTGTAATGCTTTTTTATATTTTATTTGGTTGGGCTGCAGATGCTGAATTTAGGAATACGGGTCTGGAAAGGTCAGAAAGGCTGGCAAAGGATCTGGAATGGTTTAGGCAGCAGGGTCATGCCATTCCCGAGCCATCGGAACCTGGCCTCAACTATGCCCGCATTCTCGAAGAACTATCACAGAACGATCCTCAAGCGTTCCTTTGCCACTTTTACAACATATACTTTGCCCATTCAGCTGGAGGCCGCATGATTGGGAGAAAGGTGATTTTTGGGGTTGTGGTTTGGTTTAATTTGCACACTTCACACACTTGATCGACCACGAGCAAGCTATATTCAAACCGCAGATGAAGCCATGACTGATAGATCAAATGGCGTGCAAGTGGAAAATGTAATTCGGTTAGCTTTAGTTGATTATTTGCCCTCCTGTTTTCAGGTAGCCGAGAAAATACTGAACAAGAAAGAGTTGGAGTTTTACAAATGGGACGGTGACCTTTCTCAGCTTCTGCAGAATGTTAGGGAGAAGCTGAACAAAGTTGCTGATGTAAGTTTCTGAGTAACCATTTAGGATTCATTAAATTTACCAAAAAATTTTGAACTCATTTTACTGTCATTCTTTACCCAGAGCTGGACCAGAGAGCAGAAGGACCACTGTCTCGAGGAGACAGAGAAGTCGTTCAAGCTCTCGGGAGATATTCTCCGTTTGATTCTCTCCTCGTAATCTCCAAGCGAGTGTTAAATCTCACTTGCGCTGTTCGTAATGTCCAAGCAAAGCGAAAATTGCACTTCCGCTGCTGTTATTGTGTATGTTTAATGGCACAGGCTGATGCCATTGTCCACTATTAGGCTATGTATATAGTACTTTGCCTGCTGTATTTTTAATATATGCAAATTCCAAAATTGGATTTGAACCTCGGGTATCTTTGGAACCCGGAAAATGATTTCAAATCATTTTTCAGGTTTCTAGTGTTTGACAAGGCTTGGAAAATTAATGTCTGGGTTTCCAATTTCTACAATACTTGTTTTTGGTTTCCATGACGGGGCACTACAGGGTGCATGGTTTGAAGCATTTCGGGGTATGTAGTTGAGTCATGTTCCGCAATTTACCTACTCCACTAATTTTCGCGAATAGTTCTGAGAGACCCATAAATTTAGTAAGTAAAATCGTTAGAACTAATCGTCAAGTAACACCAAGTTTAACAATGCTTTAAATTTGATAAAGTTAAACTATATTTTTGGACATAATCATTACAGTTATGTTTGGCAAACCTAGTTGAAAAGGTAGCTGAAAGCTATAAGTTAGGAGCTGAAAACTGAAAAGTTGTTAAGCTAGCTGTTGTTATGCTTGAAAGTGTTTGGTAAAATTAACTTTTTTGATAAGCTGATAAATGAAAAAAGATAAAAAAAAAATGACATTTTCATAAAATTTAAATTAGTTTGTTACATATTAAAATTTAACATTTTGTCTTAAAAAAAAATTAACATCTTGAAATATAATTATTAGCATAATCATGATCCTCCTAATAATAATAATAATAATAATAATAATAATAATAATAATAATAATAATAATAATAATAATAATAATAATAATAATAATTGCGGTGAAAGTTGCAGATAACGGAGAATAGAAAATGATTTTAATTGAGAAGGATAAATGATGTCATTTCTTAAAAAAAAGTTCGAAAGTTACCAGCGTTTCAAAATAAGCTCTTATTTTAAGCTACGAACTTATTTTAGAAACATTACCAAATAGAATTTATAGCTTATTAATAACTTAAAATAAGCTATAAGCTCTGCCAAACAGACACTACAACTATGAATCATTTTCATTGTTTTGAGCATAATTAATTCTTTACTAAATTTTAGCTATTATAAGGTATTTAGAGGATAAATCATTGTCACTATTTTGAATATAATTCATGGATAAAATTATTATTTATTAATTGTTGAGCGGTCGAGTTGGTCGAGTTCAACCCTTTGCTCGATTCGAGACGTGGTACTGTGACTTACCATGAAGGAAAGTAAAGAACCGAGTCAAGTAATGTTGGCTGAGATCCATCAAATAATAACCATTATTTTGAACCTAAATCATTACTATAATTTCTATTATTTTCTAGTATTTTAGACATAAATTATTATTATATTATTATAACTTAATTTACCATATATAATAATAATAATAATAATAATAATAATAATAATAATTATTATTATTATTATTATTATTATTATTATTATTATTTAATGTCTCCAAAAAATAGATTAATTTTAAATATACAAACAAAAATCTTTTCCTAGTATGGGCGGGAATAGGATTATATTTTTATATATACAGATACAGATACAAATTACCCTTTCTTTGTAACTTCATTCTTAAGAAGAAGATACGTCCAGCACATTCAACCTCATACATTATGGAATCACCAGGTATGCATCTTCTTCTTCCGAACTATTCTTTTGTTAAAATTTTCATTATTATCTGCAACTGAGTTTACATAATAGATTTACATTTGAGTCGGTGACTCAATTGGTTCGTGTAGTAGATTGTAGACAAGAATACACGATTACAATCGGAGTGGGAAGTTAATTATACCTAATGTGGTGAACTTTTTGTGGGTACTAAATACTAGTCATCCACTTAATAAACGCTTGATGCCCAGTAATTTATCCTTCCATCTATTTTTAGGTGAAATTATAAGGCCTTAGGGCAAGGGAATTTAACCTTTTATAGACTAGATTTAAATTCAAGTTTTATCACTTTATTTCCACATTATATTATTCGAGTGATTATAAAATTTTGCCTTTTTTTAGGCAAGATTTATATTTAAATTTCATCACTTTATCTCTCTAATATTGTTCAACGTAATTATAAAGAAATTTTATGTTTTGTAGGCAAAATTTATATTTGAATCTCATCACTTTATCCCTATTGTTAAGAATGGTTATAAGAAAATTTACAGGATGTAATTGTAATTCCTTTACAAATTAAAACATAATATCTTGGCATTTTAAATTAAGGTGTTTGGTTGAAATCGAATTATAATTTCTTCCATTTAAAAATTTGCAATTCATACATTCGTCTATGGGAATTCTAATTCCGCACTGTCATGGAATAGAAAAAATATGAAAATAACTAAATTACCTCTAATTGTTGTTATTATTATTATTATTACATAAAAATATTTTACACTTTATATTATTCTTTTCATTTTAAATTCAAATAACGTAATTTAAATTCCTACTTTATTCTCTTCTACTAAATTACAATTCATTCAACTAATTGATTGTTGCTTTAATTTGTATTGATGGGACAGTAAAAGGCATTGATTTCATAAGCAGTTTGCCGGATTCAATAATTCATCAAATCTTGGCGCGGCTTCCAGTTAAAGATGTCCACCACACATCCGTCTTGTCCAAGGGCTGGCACCGCTGCGTTTCCGATTACCCTCTCGCGGAGTTGAGAATCCCAGTTTCCGATGAAAATCAGGTGTCTCCCAACAATATACAAGGTTTCTACGCGGGAGCGGAGCGCCGCGTACGCGCCTTCTACCAAGATATCCCGTCGTCTCTGCGGAGAAGCAGGCTGCAAATCGACTTCCCCAATAAACAATCCCTTCTCTACTGCAACCGAGTTCTGGGTATTGTGGCTGATCAGGAAAGAGTGAAAGAGCAGGATGTTCGTCTCACCGGTTGTCCCTCGGCGCCGATCAATACTTACACCGGCTTCCAGAGAATCTTGGCCGCCGATTCTCTCGCCGTGCTGGAGCTGAGTCGCTGCAAGCTCACTCTTCAGAGATTGGAGGTGAAGCTTCCCAATCTGCGGAAGATCGGTTTTGTGGATTGCGCGTTGTCCAGGAGAGATCGCGTGTTGCACAAGTTCCTGCTGGGATCGCCGTCCGTCGAGCACCTCCGCATCCGCAACTGCGACCGGATAGAGAGAGCCGTCGGCGGTGTCTACAAGATTGTGATTCCGGCGGAGAATCTCAAGTATTTTGAATGCGTGGTCCGGAGATGCTACCCACAGACGGTGACCATGGACATCCAGTCCCGGGTTCTCCGCTCTTTCCGTTTCAAGTACTCACCGTCGCCGGCGCGTGGCAAACACCCGCCGCATTTCAGGATGAACATCGACCTCACGCGCCACCCATCCCTGATGCAGTTGCGGCTGACAAGGGTGACGTTTCTCCGGCGCTCCGATCGCCTCCCAATGAACTTCATCCCCGGAGCCTTGGCCGCCGTTCAAGATTTGCGTCTAAAATTCTGCCGGTTTCAGCCAAGAAAGTTCGTCCCCGACCGCACCATTCTCACCCAGAGCCTTAGCAGATTGGTGTTGTATGAAAACGTAGGATTCAACCTCGGCGTCAACATTGTTGCCCCAAGTTTAGTTTCGCTCAAATACCATAATTCTTCTAAGCACCCATCAAACCCTTTGTCTCACATTATCGCCCCAAACCTCCAGGACATTCATATCAAAATCAAAGCACCCACTCAGCTTTCTCTCATAGCCTCCATTAATGATGAACTCAAGAAGCTTAGAATCTATCCCTATGTTAACATACAATGCTTCCCTCTTCCCAACAAAGAACAGCAAGGGATAGTGATGAAACAAAAGCTATTTGAAGTGAACTGGAAATCTCAGCTGGAATGTGAATCATTTGTAGGTAATGGTGTATGCATATCATCCCGGACTTGCTGATTTATTATATTCTCCATGATGAAGATCCCAATCAGAAGTCGTTGGCTCAAGTATAAAATGAATTTGAACATATCTGTATAAAGTGAGTATTTAGTTTGACCACAAGAAATGTTAGGTCAAAAATTGTACTTACAAGATTTGATTTTGTTGGAATATTTTTAAATTTTTTTTTACTTATGTTATCATATACAGTTAGGGTGTGTTTAGTTCGCATATAGGAATTAGAATCGGAATGAATATCAAATACTTAGTAATGCTAATGGATTTTACTAAAAGTATTTTGCATGTTTGGTGGTAGGGTTGAATGCATGAGAATGATTATCATTGTAATATATATATATATATATATATATATATATATATATATTATTAACATTTTAAAATCTTAACCTTTTTTTTTTAATATTTAAATACGAAAAAATTAATATTATTTGTAAACTTTACTTATTTTTTAAATTTTGAATTCAAAAATAAAAAATAAAAATCCGCGGACTGGCCCGCGGAGGCCGCCAACCCGCATGAGACGAGCTATGGTTGCATGAACCCTAGCCCGCGGGTTTGGTGGGCCGACTCGCAAAGGCAACAAAAAATTAGGCCCGAAAATTTTTGCATGCACACCCTTTGGAAAATGACTTTCCCCCAAAAAAAGGGGAAGTCATTTTTCCCCAAAACATACCTATTTTCCTTTGACTAAGATATCATTTTCCATTGACCTCATTTTCCTTTCTCTTGCCAAACACTGAAAACTCGGAAAACATTTTACAGAAGCCATTTTACTGGTTTTCAAACGCACCCGTAGTGTTTTCGTATGTCATAATCCAAGGATTGGTGTATCCCGGTGTTCAAATATTCCTTTTGGTGATGCATAAACTAAACTCCCAGGCCACAACAGTAGTGGTATGGATAAAACTAATAACGTTCTTTGCCATAACAGTAATCTTTATCATTGTAATATATTTTGTCTTTATCACCGGTACGCAACAAATTTTAAGATGAGTTTACTTCTCGAGTGATAGGAAAAGAGCGAGGATGTTTTCAAGTTTTAAGTCACAATGAACAAACCCCTTGTCGTGAAAGTGTAAAACCCTTGAGATCAAATCCAGTAAATGTAGAAATGCACGTAAGATTCCATGAATTTTTTTGTTCCTTATGCATTTGCTGTAAACCAATAATGTTTAAACTTAATTAATTCGACAAATGATTTCTTTTTTCTTTTGGTAATCTTTTGGTCATGCCATTCCAGAGCCATCGGAACCTGGCCTCAACTATGCCCGCATTGTTAATTGTTATTGATAAGAGATAATATAGTGCTTGGTTGTGGTTAGTTTGTTAAGTTTGTTTCGTATTCATTGCTGTGGTTACCTTGAGTTTAGTAGGTTTAGTTTCACCTTTGTAGTATAAATATCTCTTCTGAATAATGTAATTCATCACTTCTTTACCAATTTACATGGTATCAAGAGCTATTCGATCTAAACTATATATTTTTTTTCCCCTTCACCTTAAGTTCTATTTTCCATGGCTGCTAATGATGCAAATACTCAACCTACTGTCTCCCCCACTCCAGTTAATCCGGTACCTAATGTTGAAGGTGCTAATACCATTCCTAATCATCTTGAACCTAGCCAACCACTAATTGTGGTTACATTTCATAACATTCAAAAACTCACTTCCTCCAACTATCTCACATGGAAAATTCAGCTTGAAGCCATTCTTATTGGCTATGATCTTAAACATTTTATTGATGGCAGTAAACTCATCCCAACTGCTACTATCACTGTGCAAGATCGCGTTCTTCCAAATCCTGCTTATTCCACTTGGATACGCCAAGATAAGCTCATTTTTGGCGCTATAGCTGGTACTTTGTCCTCAGCTGTCGGGCCTCTCATTTCGAGTGCCCAAACTTCTCACGAGGCATGGAATATCCTAGCAAATACTTATGCTCGCCCCACCCGTGGTCACATAAAGCAACTCAAGGATCAACTCAAGAATATCATCAAAGGCGGCTCCACAATTACCGAGTACATACACTAAATCAAGAGAGTTGTTGATGAACTTGCCCTTTTAGGCAAACCCATGGAACCTGAAGATATCACAGACAAAATTCTTGATGGTTTGGATTCTGATTACCAATCTGTTATTGATGCTGTTAATGGACGTGACTCCATCATCTCGTTTGAAGAGTTGCATGAAAAGTTAATTAACAAAGAACTTGCTCTACACCGTGCAACTCCTCCTACCACGTTTCCAGCTACAGCTCATCCCACTCAAACTCGACCAGTAAGCAATTTTCAGACTCGGCAACCCTCATATCCCCGCTTCACCAACAATTCATCCCGGCCTGCTCCAAAACCCTTTCTTGGTCGTTGCCAGTGGTGTAATGTTCAAGGTCATGTTCTTTTTCATTGTTCTGTCTTTCGTGGACAGTACCCAAATATTCAGTTTCCCCCTCGTCCTACACGCAAACAAGAGGTAAAACCACAGGCTCATGTTGCTGCCACCTCACCAGTTGCACCCTCCTGGTTGCTAGACAGTGGTGCCTCCCATCATGTTACCACGGATCTTTCAAATCTTGCTCTTCACACACCATATGATGGTACAGATGAAGTTATGATAGGGAACGGTTCTGGTCTTCCCATCTCACATACTGGTTTTGTTTCTCTCCCTTCTACATCTAAGTCATTTTCCCTTTCTAATGTTTTGTGTGTTCCCACCATGTGTCGAAATGTTATCTCTATTTCACAATTTTGTCGTGATAATAATTCCCTTATTGAGTTCTCACCCACTACCTTTTGTGTTAAGGACATTCAGACGGGGGCACCCCTCCTAACCGGACCATCTAAAAATGGAGTTTATGAGTGGCCGACGTCTCCTAGTGTGTCTACTCATGTCTTCACCACAATGGTTTGTGACAATAATTGGCATCACCCCTTAGGTCATCCCTCCGCTCCCATCCTCGACCAACTATTGGTTCGTTTAGGCATTTCTAATTCTTTTGCTCAGTCACATTGTAATGCATGTCTTAGCAATAAAAGTCATAAACTTCCCTTTAAAAACTCCACTCTTACTACATCAGAACCGCTTGAGGTTGTGTTCAGTGATGTTTGGACTTCTCCACTACATTCCTTTGATAATTACAAATACTATATTATTTTTGTAGATCACTATACAAAATATGTATGGTTGTATCCACTCAAGCGGAAGTCTGACACATATGATGTGTTTGTACGCTTTAAGTTGATTGTTGAGAAATTTTTTAATAAAACACTTCGAACCTTGTACTCTGACAATGGTGGTGAGTACAAAGCCTTGTCATCTTTCTTAACAATAAGTGGCATCTCTCATCTCACCTCTCCGCCACACACTCCCGAGCATAATGGGTATTCGGAGCATCGACACCGTCACATCGTTGAGACGGGTCTTGCTCTTCTTACCCAAGCCTCCATGCCACTTAGTTACTGGACTCTTGCCTTTTCCACTGCAGTCTACCTCATTAATCGCCTTCCCACACTAACTCTTAACCATCACTCCCCTTACTCTAAACTCTTTGGTAGTGAACCAAAATACTCTAGTCTTCGCAGCTTTGGATGTCTGTGTTATCCATGGCTCAAACCATATACTGTCCACAAGCTTCAGTCTCGTTCATTACCTTGTGTTTTTGTCGGGTACGGGGCATCTCAACATGCTTTTTATTGTTTAGAACCAACTACAAATCGTATATATGTGTCTCGACATGTACGGTTTTTTGAAGCGTGGTTCCCATTTGCACATATTGCTAAAGACCTCTCCCACCCTTCGTCCTCCAGCGCAGGTGAGTGGTGTTCTATCTCTCTTCCCATCGCCCATTCACCGGCACAGCCACATTACCAAAACATCACACCGCCACCCCTACATAATCTTCCTCCAAATTCCCCTATAACTTCCCCTCTATCACCTATACTCCCCTCACCTCCTACTCAAAATACTCAGTCGTCTCCATCACCATCTCTGCCTGGTTCTACATCCCACTCTTCTCCCTCTAGTTGCTCACAAACGAGTCAAGTTTCATCTCCTGCTACTTCTCCTCCTGACCCACCAGCTTCTGTACTAGTTCCTGCCCCACGTGTTGTTGTCACTCGGTCGAAAAACAACATTTTTAAACCCATTCGAAAACTCAATTTATCAGCTCAAGTTGTTCCTATTGAACCTGTTTCTGTTAAGCAAGCTATGCAGGATCCAAATTGGTTGGCAGCCATGAAGGATGAGTTTGCAGCGTTAGCTCATAATGAGACTTGGGATCTTGTCCCCCCCCGATCCATCTCACAATCTGGTGGGTTGCAAATGGGTCTTCCGCCTCAAGTATCATCCAGATGGGTCCATTGCTCGGTACAAAGCTAGACTGGTTGCCAAAGGCTTTCATCAGCGACCGGGCTTGATTATACTGAGACTTTCAATCTGGTTGTTAAACCATCGACTGTTCAGCTGGTCTTAAGTCTAGCTGTTACTCATGGGTGGGTAACTCGTCAGTTGGACATTAACAACGCATTTTTGAATGGAACTTTGAATGAAGATGTGTTCATGACTCAGCCTCCCGGTTTTATTGATCGTACACTACCTCAGCATGTGTGTCGGTTACGAAAGTCGTTGTATGGTCTAAAACAAGCCCCTCGGCCTTGGTACACTGAGCTGCGTAATTACCTTCTGCAGATTGGTTTTAAAAATTCGAAGGCAGATACTTCATTGTTTTACTATACTCATCACTCGGACTATGTCTATGTCCTTGTGTATGTTGATGATATAATTGTAACCGGCAAACATGAAAAATCTGTTTGCTCCTTTATTTCTTGTCTGACTCGCAGGTTTTCTTTAAAGGATCTTGGTTCTCTTTCCTTCTTTCTTGGTGTTGAAGTGTCTCCTTGCTCTCACGGCCTCTTTCTCAACCAAAGGAAGTACATTTATGACATACTTTGTCGTGCGGGGATGGCGGATGCTAAACCTGTGGCCACACCTATGGCTATTTCTCCTCCACTACATCTTACAACCGGACACACTCTTTCGAACCCGTCTGAGTTTCGGGCACTAGTTGGGAGCTTGTAGTATTTGTCGTTGACCAGACCAGATGTAGCATTCGTTGTTAATAAACTTTCTCAATTTCTGGCAGCACCAACCGTAGACCATTGGGCAGCACTGAAACGTTTGCTTCGATATTTATGCGGAACTTTGGATCATGGTATTTTCCTTTCTGCTGATTCACCGGTGCAACTTCATGCTTACTCTGATGCTGATTGGGCTGGTGACAAGCATGATTACCGCTCTACAGGAGCTTATATTGTTTACTTAGGACGTAATCCTATCTCGTGGAGTTCTAAGAAACAGCGAACTGTTGCCCGTTCCTCTACGGAGGCCGAATATCGCACTGTTGCTAGTACTGCTGCGGAACTTGCTTGGATTTCATCTCTCCTGAGCGAGCTTGGTTTTTCTCTCCCAGAGAAACCAATTATTTATTGCGATAATCTTGGCGCAACCAGTCTCTGTGCAAACCCAGTTTTTCATTCTCGTATGAAGCATGTTGCTCTTGACTTTCACTTTATTCGTGAGCGTGTCCAGAGTGGTGCATTTAGTGTTTCTAATATTGCAAGTGATTATCAGCTGGCTGATGCTCTTACGAAGCCTCTACCACGGCGCCGCTTTCAGCTTCTGGTGTCCAAGATTGGCCTCACCGGACGGCTGTCCATCTTGCGGGGGCATGATAAGAGATAATATAGTGCTTGGTTGTGGTTAGTTTGTTAAGTTTGTTTCGTATTTATTGCTGTGGTTACCTTGAGTTTAGTAGGTTTAGTTTCACCTTTGTAGTATAAATATCTCTTCTGAATAATGTAAATTCATCACTTCTTTACCAATTTACAGTTATATCGTGCATTGTGCGCCCTACAAATCCCATATTTCATATGTACATAATTGTATAGTAGAATATACATAAACTCCTAACATAATACACATAATCTAACATAATATATGTACACATAAACTCTTAACATAAAATACACATAAACTCTTAACATAATACACATAAACTCTTAGGGTGCATAATGCATTGTGCGTCCTGGTACACGATATAATTTGCCAACAGCTAGAAAAAGGGAATTAGAAAATGTCCCTCGATAATATGCCAATTATCAATGTCACCCCTGAATTATGAGTGGTGAAGTGTAGCCCCTCAATTATCAAAATGGTGCACATATAACCCCTCCCAGGATGTATGCATATCATCTCGGACTTGCTAATTATATTTATTCTCCATGATGAAGATCCCAATCATCCATCAGAAGTCGTTAGCTCAAGTGAAAGATCGAGACTTGAATCTTTTAAGTACAATCACTTCTTTTTTATTTTTTATTTTGGAAGAATTGTCTCAAATGATTGAAAAAGTTGTTTAAATCGCTCATAAGTATAAAATGAGTTTGAACATATATGTATATTGCTAAGTATAAAGTGAGTATTTAGTTTGAGCACAAGAAATGTTAGGTCAAAAATTGTACTTACAAGATCTAATTTTGTTAGAATATTTTTGAATTTTTTACTACATGAGTTTTTCCACTTTTGGTCCTATGACTTTGTTGTCTCCGTCAACTTAAGTTCATAACTTGCTAAGATTGTAGACCCCTACTTTCATTTTTTATAGAACTTTCGTTTTAAACGAAAGTCATTGTAACTCAACGAATGATTTGCACGAATCTTAGTTGATCGAGACTAACGTGATAGGTCTACTTGAAGGCATGAAGATAAAGAGAAGAACGAGAGATCAACTCAGATCGAAAGATGGAAGGGTCTAACTCTCGGACAACCCTCGAATGACAAGGAGGGATGAAAGATAAGGTCTATCTTTCGATGTAACCTCCCCAAGACAACAAGTCTAAGTCAGATTCATAAAGACAACCTTCATTAAGTGAGCAACATGAATGTTGTCTACGTCTCAGCTGGGCAATCATCCTAGACAAAAAGGTGTCCTAGGAATGATATTGGTACCTTGTTGTCAGTGAAAAGGACAAAAAGCTATGTTGTTTTCCATCACCAACGGTTACACAGTACAGCCTAATTAATTGCTCTATGCCCACTGGTTAATACACGCTGGTTAAAAGGTTCGAAATCTTCATTTCCCTCCAACGGATGAATTCCCCCCACCTATAAATACCTCTCTTCACCATTGAAGAAGGTGCTGGTTGTTCAACTGTTGCTATCCTAAGAAAAGCTCTTCAAACATTCTCATCCCAAAAGCTTTTCAAAACCAGTTTGTTGTGTTTGTGAAGTTTTCAAGAAGATCATATAAAGTTCATACTTCACAAACCTGAAGAAGTCTTGTTTTGTTTCTAATTAGAAGATTCATCCAGCCATCAAGTCAAGACTTCAACCTGTTGGAGAAACTCAACATAATCTTTCCAACACTCAACTCTGAGGAAGAAGTTGATAGAGGCGGAGTAAACTCGAGGAGTTGAAAAACCTACAAAGTAGCTGCCTGGCTTAGAGATCAAGGAAGCTAGCTTGAAATAGTTTGTACTAGGAGGTTTAGTGCAAACCCTTTCACAAGTTGTGAAAGAAGAGTGGAGTAGGCTTCATTAACAGCCGAACCACTATAAAAATCTCTCTCTCTCCATCTCTCTTTATTTACTGCTCTTTATCTCTCGTGCATTGCATATCATATTGACCAAACATTAAGGGTTCATAACGAAACTGTGCAAAGTGAACTTAAAACGAAACATTTTATTCCGATGTGCATCACTCCGAAAGAAGTCTCTTTGAAAAATCGATTAGAGTCTATTCACCCCCTCTAGACTCTCTTTCGATCTTACCGGGACCAACAGTATATATAGGTAGGTTGGAATAAGAATAATTCTTCATGTAAATAATGAGAATTAATCACATCTATCCATTTAAATTAATCAACGGTTGAAAATTAAAGAAAAAAAATATGGATTACTCACTTAAATGTTACAAACTTTTCATCTATTGCAACAATTCCTAAACATCAAGAATTCCAACAATTAATCTAACTTTTGTCATCCAGGCACAGTCTCCCATTGACCATTCACTACTATTATCACTAGTATCTTACCCGTACGATGCGCGAAAACAATTAGGATATGATGAATTAGGGGAGAAATTAGAAAAATGAAAAATCATTATAGAAAGGAATAAAAAAAATTATAATTAAATAGTATATTAAAATTTTACAAAATTTGGTTAAACATCCTTATATACAATGTTTGATGTGGAATTTCTTTGGGTTCCCTCCTTATCGTAAATTAAAATCTTTAAACCATTTGATTTGGTAACTCTTGAAATAACAACATGCAATTGTTAGTGCTGAATACTGATCTTTTCAAAAAGATGCCCACGTGAGAAAGTGATTATTAACTCTGACTCTTGTTAATTGTCATTGCATAAGAGATTGTAGATGGAATTATCTTCTTTGAAATTTACAAAGCAGCCTCAAGTATGCTCATGTGTGTATTTGAACCCCTAGACATCGGAAGGAAGTCAGAAATGACTTCAAACTTAAAAACTAAAGAAAGTAGTAAACATAGCAAAATATTATGAAAAAATTAAAAATAGATTAACAATAAATAAACCTCCACATCTTCAAGAACATATTCTAAGGTTGTTGTGATATAAGCTCTGTAATACCCTCGATTTTATTCGTAATTTAAAACATTTGAACTTAAATACTAAGGCAAAGTCTAACCATAAAGATTAAGGTAATGCAGAAGCTAAACCAAATAGTATTGGGGTGTTATGCCACATCTAAGTTACAGACTTATATGCACAGGCCAAAACCGTCTACAAAACAAAGTATACTAATCATAAAGTCAAAGTCTAACAGAACGGCTCACAGGCCACCAAAACTAAGAACTAACAAAGGGACTAAATCTAGCTCAACGGCTTCAACTAGCGCTCTCTTGAACCGATTAGACTGTACCTAAAAAGCATTAAGGTATAACAACCGTTAGCGAAAATTGCTAAAAACCCACTCAAACGCGTTGAAGTACATAATATATATTTTATAAGAAAACCACTTTTGAGACTTTGGAATACATAAGTATAGTCTTAGCAACACTAGTTTTAAAAAAAACGAGAGATAGAAGTATCATTTGACTCATCGAATGACACACTCAATCATACCGACCAACACACGGCTAATAATCAATATAATCAATTGGAGGAGACAATGATAAGGATACAAAGATAATCAACAAGGTAAGGTAATCAAGCAACAACGAAAAGATCACATAAAGGTATGCTCATAAACAAGAGGGAATACAATAATCACAATCAATGATCAAGTTCCAACCTTATGCCAAGTTCCAACCTTTACACCGCTCCATCCTTATAACAGTTCCAAATCTACCTCCGAGGCCACCCTATACACCAGTCCAACCTTATACCATCTGGAAACTAAGCTCCCCGCCTACTTGCCGCCAATCTCATAAACATTATATAATATACCGCCAATCTCATTTTGGAGTAAAGCTCCTTACCGCCAATCTCATATCAATCATAAACACATAATCATCGACATAGATAATCAAGGCTCAACAATAGCCCAATCAAGGAATAATAAAGATAAGTACAACAATTGTGCAAGCTCACAATGACAGGTTCAATCGAAGGAATTCAAGAAAGAACACAAAGGAGACATTCCAAAGTATGGCCACAATATCGAGAGATTCCAAATCAAGAGACCACAACGATTGGTAAACACAAGTTACCAATCCTCATTAAGGATAAATAAGGTTATTACGAGGAAAGCACATACTAGTACCAACAAACAACGTAGCTAGCATGCAAATCAATAAGATAATCATAAAGGCTCATACGAACGTTATAGACTTCATTTCAATCCAACGAATCACAAAGTTGGATCACAAACACGATTCAAGACTCACAAATCCTACCTAGGATACTTAAGACATCGTTCTAGACTTACGAGACATCAATAAATACACACGAGTACACAATGGGTCAACAAAACGTAAGCCAAGAACCAACGTACCAGTGGGTGGTTCGGGTGGGAGGCAAACCACCCGCCGAGAATAAGCCCCGTACCAGAGGGTGGTACCATGGGTGGTCAACCACCCGCTGAACCCCCCACCATATTATACCATGTACCAGCGGGTGGTCTGGCGGGTGGCAAAGTGCCCGCCAGTCTGCCCGCTGGTACCAATACAGAGAGGAGAAAAATCAATTCGGGAAAAATTGCTAGAATGCACAAGTTCAAGTCCAATGCAAGAAACAAATAATACTAAATAACGTATTACGTACCTTATACAAAATTGAATGCAAGAAATATCTAAAGTCTCCATCTTTAAGAAATGCATGATCTCCAATTTCTCAAGGTCCAACTCATAATCAACCATGCCTACAATACCGCGAGACATATGAATTACATGATTTTATTCAAGATTGCAAGCAATTTTATAAGCCTTTTTGCATTCAATTCAAAGAAGGATCAACTATAGCGAATTCAAGGAGCAGACCGTTGTGCAATTTATTCATATGTCATTTTGGGCTTTCTTTTTAATTGATCATTTCATATAAGTAACAATTATTATTTTAAAAAATTAAAGTTAAATATTATTTTGAAATACAAAAATTTACGAACACATTCAAGAGGAGACTGTTGCATAATCAATCATTTGTTGGGCTTCTTGAGTAGACACAAGGCCTTGGTGATGTGCTGCATAGGGATGGCAACGGGGCAGCGCGGGGGCGGGGAATGGGGTCCCCGTCCCCAAATTATCTCACCATTACCCGTTCCCGGCGGAGATGGGGAATTATTCCCCATCCCCGTTGTCCCCGCGAGGACTTTTCGGGCACAGAGAATCCCCGCCCCGTTTTTTATTTATGCCAATTAAAAAAAATTAATATTGAAAGGTTATGAACAGAACAAGTTTATTGATGAAAACAATCATACTTAAACAAAATACAAGAGAGAGAATATAGCAGGTAGTTAGCAGGATGTTGTAACAACCCGTCTAACACTACTAGTTAATAGGAGAATAACTAGAACTAAAATAGAGACAAAGATATCAGCCACAAATATTCTTAACAAATATTATCAAAAATTTATATTGTTAAGCCTTGAATCCTTAAACAAAGTCCAAATTCAAAATACATAGATTAATAAAATTAAAATCCTTAAACAAATTCCTACAAATATCCAAAGTTCCAACTTTCAAACATAAATAATAATCATAAGATGGTCAAACACTTTAAATTGTTTCAAGCTCCTCTGTACTTTTTTTTTTGAATACTACCGACTCGTCCAAACATAAATAC